GTTGCCCAGGCGGGTCTCGACCCCGCGGGCTCAGGTAATCCACTCACCTTAGCCTCCCAAAGCACGGGATTACAGCCTGAGCCACCGAGCCCAGCTCCTCCAACTTTTTTTTTTAGTTTGAGTTTAAGTCTCACTCCGTTGTCCAGGCTGGAGTGCAGTGGCACACTCACAGACACCCCAGCGTCGACCTGCTAGGCTCCAGCAATCCTTCCACCTCAGCTTTCCAAGTAGCTGGAACTACAGATGCGTGCTATCATGCCCAGCTAATTTTTTTATTTTATTCTAGAGATGAGGTCTCACCAAGTTGCCCAGGCTAGTCTCGAACCCGTGGGCTCAGGCAATCTACTCACCTTGGCCTCCCAAAGTGCTGGGATTACAGACTGAGCCACAGAGCCCGGCCTTTCTCCAATTTTTTATTTTAAACAATTTCAAGTTGGGAGTGGTGGCTCATGCCTGTAATCCCAGCACTTTTGAAGGCTGAGGTGGGAGAACTGCTTGAGCCCAGGAGTTTGAGACCAGCCTGGGCAGAGGATCGCCTGAGCTCAGGAGGTCAAGGCTGCAGTAGCTATGCTCATACCACTATACCCTAACCTGGGTGGCAGAATGAGATTCGACTAAAAAAAAATTTTTTTTTAAATAAAACATGCTTTATCTAAATTAAATGCTTTTCTACATGTGTACTTTCTCCACATTTACTACATTCATACAAAATTGCTCATTTAAAAATTTTTATTACACATTAAAAATTTTTATTACAGAACTGTCTTTGTGTCACGTATGCTCATTTTTGAGGAAACATTTGAAAACTGCAGACATAAGCCGGGCTCGGTGACTCAGCCTGTCTGTAATCCCAGCGCTTTGGAAGACTGAGGTGAGTGGATTGCCTGAGCCTGCGGGTTTGAGGCCCGCCTGGGCAACTTGGAGACACCTCATCTCTACAATAAGTCAAAAACTAGCCGGGCGTGGTAGCGCGCGCCTGTAGTTCCAGTTACTTGGAAGGCTGAGGCGGAAGGATCGCTGGAACCCAGCAGGTCGAGGCTGCGGTGGCTGGGAGCGGTGGTCATGAGTGTGCCACTGTACTCCAGCCTGGACAACAAAATGAGACTCCGACTCATAAAGCAAACATACAAAAAACCTAGAATAATTTCCCTGTTTGTCTTGCTTGATGTTGGCAATTTAAAGTTCAGGAAGCTGTTTTATAAACTGTCCTATACTTTGAACTTGTCACTTGTCTGTTTCCTCACCACTAGGTTCAGGTTAAACACTTTTGTCCAATACACTATGTAAGGATGTGCACTTCTCAAACTCACATCAGGAGTCACATAACATACCTTGTTACCGCTATGTTAAACTTGACCTGTTGGTTAAGACAATAATCTGTAATTAACAAGTAATCTGTATGGTGATACTGGAGTCTATGATTATCCCAACAAGCTTCCACCCAATGGTTTAGCATTCATTGATGATTCATTGATGATGTAGTCTGAATCAATTGCTGTATTTTACAAAATAAATTTTAACAAAATACCTTTCCCTGATAAAATAAAATATTAGTTACCTTATGTTATTCACCCCACTTATATGCATATATCTCTTCCTACTTGATCTGTGGTTAACATATACTTCACGCCCAAAGGTACTTTCTACAAACCATCTTTCCATCTTCAGTTTTCATTATTTTTTCACATATTATACTGTACTCACAGTTTGAAAAACAGAGCAATTTTGTATGAATGTAGTAAGACCACACTTTTTTTTTTTTGAGTTGGGGTCTCACACAGATGGGAATGCAGTGGCATGATCACAGCTTACCATACCCTTGACCTCCTGCTCTCAGGCGATCCTCCTGCCTCTGCCTCCCAAGGAGCTGGAACTATAGGCACCTATCACCATGCTCAGCTAATTTTTTTGATTTTTGTAGAGATGTAGACTACGTTGCTCAGGCTAGTTTCCAACTCCTAGGCTCAAGCGATCCTCCCACCTCGGTCTCCCAAAGTGTTGGGATTACAGGTATGAGCCACCATGCCTGGCCAGATGATACTTTTCTAATCCATGCCTTTATCTACCTTCTTCCTGGCTGAATTAATGGAATGCTTTCCCCTGTCATAGAATCTCACTTCCTAACAGCTGACCTAATCCCTGAGGTTCGTCTCAAGGCACCTCACTGTGAAACTTTCCCTAGTCCATGCAAACCACAGATGTGATTCCTCTTTCCTTGAATCACACAGAACACTACTGATACTATCCTTATGCCTTTGGTCTAATTCTACCAGGTATAGGCTTTTGGGTGGACCTACATTCCAATTTCTGTTGGGTATGTAGAACAGGGTCACAGGATAAGCACCTGTTTAACTTCAAAGAAAATGTCCAACTATTTTCCAAAGCTGCTATACCATTTGCACCCCCTACTCGCCATGTGTGAGGGTTCTATTTGTTCCACATACGTTTTCAGGGAAAAAAAAAAACCCTATATACAGAAGAAAATTGCTTGTCAATCAAATGTAACAAAGACCACTCTGAAATAGTGTAGAGGACATTCAGTTTGGGAGTCTGAGGACCTGGCTTGAATTTAGTATTGCCATTGATCATGTCAGTTGTTTACCTTTATTTAGTTCAGTTTTCTCATTTGAGGAGTTTGATAGATGATCTCTAAGGCCTTTTTTTAAAATTGGAAAGTGTAGTTTACTTAAAAACTAAATTAGAATGAGAAAGAGGAGATTCACCTCCCCAAGGTAGGGAGGGGAGGGGGCCAAAGTCAGGAAACATGGCCACACCATAGCTTAGCAAGGCAATGAATGGCCTTAAGGCCTTTTAAATTTAACATTTTATGATTCAAGTTTAATGAAGGGGTTTTGAAGGGGGGACTTGCAGGAAAGGAAGATAGGAAAGGGCAAAGTCCACCCACAGCTTAGACATATTGAGGAATAAAGACAAAGGTAAGAAACTGGTTCCTGAAGCCAATGGTCCTAAACTTGCAATGCTTGACAGCTGCATCTGGGTAAGTGGAACGTTCAACAGAAACAGGTGTGGCCGAGCACACTGGCTCACGCCTGTAATCCCAGCACTTTGAGAGGCTGAGGCAAAAGGATTGCCTGAGCCCAGGGATTCGAGACCAACCTGGGCAACTTGGCGATACCTTGTCTCTACAACAAGTCAAGAAAAATTAGCCAGGTGTGGTGGTGCATGCCTGTAGTTCCTGCTATTTGGAAAGCTGAGGCGGAAAGATTGCCTGATCCCTGTAGGTTGAGGCTGCAGTGGCCAGAGTGTACCACTGTACTCCAACCTGGGTGACAGCGAGACTCCTGACAACTCAATAAAAAGAAACAGTCATGTAGGAAATAGAGGACAAACATGATGTGGTGTATTCACATGGTGAACGTGGTCATAAAAAGGAATGAACAATTACACATGCAACCTGGATGCCTCTCAAAACCGGAATGCTGAGGGGAAAGCCTTGTGCAGAAGAACACACTGGACAATTCCATTTATGTAAAAGACTAAGACAGGCCAACAGTGGTTGGCCTGTCTGATGGAGAAGGGGCATAAGGGTACTTCTGATGGAGAAAAGGCATAAGAGTACTTTCTGAGAGAAGATGATGTTCTATGTCTTGTATTTGTCAAAACTCTAGCAAATATATGCTTAAGATTTGCACTTTTTTTTCAATTTCAATTAAAGGAAGAGAAGAAAGCAATTACTGAACTTTACCATACAAACTGACAGAATTAGGGGAAAGTATATTACTATCTATAATTTACGTTGAAGGGAATTAAAACTAAGGTGGGTTAACAGATGACAGAGGAACAGTAAGTGAAAGATGTGTGACAAAGCCAGTTTAATAACTGCTGGGATTTAGATGATGGGGGTAGAGGCGATTACAGTAAAATTATTTCAGCGCTGATGTATATTTTCAACACTTCCCAATAAAATACATTAAAATATTCTAAAAACAAAAAAGTAAGAAGAGGAGATTTAAAAACAAACACAAGTTGACTTTTGGAAAAGCAGCAAAGGTAATGAAGGCATCGTGGTCCCAGTCTTTCAAGATCCTGAAGTGTATGACAATGAGGATCACGTGACTGCTCAGAATAACACAAAAGATAGATTATCCCTGTCTCAGAGGATGAAAGCTGGAAAAGCTGTATGCTTGTTCTTCCATACTCTGCCAGATAAAGCACAAAAACGTAATCTCAGATCCTGTCTGGGGTTTTTGTAGCTGAAGAAAATTCTGTAAAGAGGCAAGGAGAGTTGCCTTTCCTTGTATGCTATTCAAAATAAGAGGGGGTGCGGTGGTTCACATCTGTGATCCCAGTGCTTTCAAAGGCTGAGGCAGGAGGATTGCTTGAGCTCAGAAGTTTGAGACCAGCCTGGGCAACACAGCATAACCTTGTCGCTACAAAAAATTTTTTAAAAGATAAGCCAGGTGTGGTGGTAGGCGCCCGTAGTCCCAGTTACTCAGGAGGCTGAGGCAGAAGGATCATCTGAGCCCAGGAGGATGAGGCTTCAGTAAGCCATGACTGCACTACTGCATTCTAGCCTGGGTGACAGAGTGAGACCCCAAATCAAAAAACGAGACCCCAAATCAAAAAACAAAACAGTCAGGCATGGTGGCTCATGCTGTAATCCCAGTACTTTGGGAGGTGGAGGCTAGAGGATGGCCTAAGCCCATGGATTCAAGACCAGCCTGGGCAACATGGCAAGACTTCGTCTCTACAATAAATCAAAAAATTATCTGGGTGTGGTAGTGCGCGCCTGTAGTTCCAGCTACTTGGAAGGTTGACGCTGTGGTGGCCATGAGTATACCACTGCACTGCACAGCAAGAATCCGACTCACACACACAAAAAAAGAAGAGTAAGATTTGTGGTTAGTGCCTGTCTACAAGTATTAACCAGTCAACAGAATTAGATACAGTAATGGAAGGTAAGCACTGAAAAGCTTTTATAGCAGCTTGACGTTGCTACAACATTCAAGTGTGTAATCAGAGGATTCATCTCACTTTAGAACTGGCTTCTGCTGAAGGATTGAAGATGACTTTTTTTCAATCCTTTCAGCCTTATTATGTTGCTCAGGCTGATGTTTGTTTGATTCCTGGCCTCAAGTGATCCTCCTACCTCAGACTTCTGAGTAGGCACATATGACTGTGCCTAGCTAAAGATGACTTTTTAAAATACAGCATCGCTTGCTTAGTTATAAACGAAAATTAAAAGCAAATATCCCCAGCTTGTTCATATTGTTTTAAAACTATTTTTCCATTCTCAGCAACAGAATGATGGGAGACTGGTGTATCTCCTATGATGTTATTAAAACAGAAAAAATTTAGATATACATTATCCTCCATGAGTAACTATGTCATCAATCCCACTGAGAATAAATAAATTACTAAACACAAATTAAACCTTTAAAAGAAAACAAGCAAGAAACAAACTCAGTTGTTACATGAACATTAAAACTTGATACACAGTGTTCTCAGTGTGTACAAACACATTTAATATGGACAATCACTTTCACTTCTAATTTTTGGTTAAGATTAGAAAATGACTAAAACATGACAAATCTAACAGGAATTCTCTATATTAATTGCATATGGAGTTATTTAAAAAAAACAATATATAGTTTTTGTAATTTAAATTTTCTCCATTATGATTCTTTCGATTAAATTCATTGAGGCTGGGTGTGATGGCTTACACCTGTAATCTCAACACTTTGGGAGGCTGAGGCAGAAGACGGATTGAGCCCAGGAGTTTGATAAACCAGCATAGGAAACATAGCGAAACCTCATCTCTATAAAAACACAACATAAATAAATTCATAGAAATGTAATGTTAAGACTGTCAAGTTGAAAAATAAAAATTTGGACTTGTGGGCTAGATATTGTGGCTCATGCCTGCAATCTCAGCACTTTGGAAATCTGAAGCAGGAGGATGGCTTGAGGCCAGGAGTTCAAGACCAGTCTGGGCAACATAATGAGAACCCTCATCACTACCAAAAAAAAAAAAAAAAAAAAAAAAAAGCTGGGCATGGCAGCATATACCTCTAGTCTCAGCTATTTGGGAGGCTGAAGCAGGAGGATGGCTTGAGCCCAGGGGATGAAGGCTGCTGGGCCAAGATTGTGCCATTGTACCACTCCAGCCTAGGTAAAAGAACAAGACCCTGTCTCAAAAAGAAAAAAAAAAGAATTGTTTTTTTAAATGTCCTTTCCCCTTTCCCCCTATTTCATTGTTCTTGTATTTCATTCATTTGTATTGTATTTGATAGAGTGTCAGTCTGCAAGGGGTGACAGACATAAAAACTTGGTTCTTCAAAGATTCTTTAAGAGCAGCTGGCTAGCCGGGCTTGGTGGCTCAGCCTGTAATCCCGCGCCTTGGGAGGCTGAGGTGAGTGGATTGCCTGAGCCCGCGGGTTCAAGACCCGCCTGGGCAACTTGGTGAGACCTCATCTCTACAATAAATCAAAAAACTAGCCGGGCATGGTAGCGCACACCTGTAGTTCCGGCTACTCGGAAGGCTGAGGTGGAAGGATCGCTGGAGCCCAGCAGGCCAAGGTTGCGGTGGCTGGGAGCGGCCACTGCACTCCAGTCTGGGCGACAGAGTGAGACTCCAACTCAAAAAAAAAAAAAAAAAAAAAAAAGAGCAGCTGGCTCAGGCACATACTCGAATCAGCCATGCGGGCTCTGCTGTGGAGTAGTCTTGCCTTGCCTGTGTGTCAGGTTGCTAAGCTTCTCCTGGTCTCGTCCACTTCCAGAGCTTCTGGCCTTTTTGCTGACACTGGCAGCTATGGGACTGTGCTCCAATTTTATTTTTATTTTTTTGAGCTGGAGATTCACTCCAACATCCAGAATGAAGTACAGTGGCACATTCACGGCCACCCCAGCCTCAACCCACTGGGCTCCAGTGATCCTTTCGTCTCAGCCTTCCAGGTACCCGGAACTACAGGAGTGCACTACCATGCCCAGCTAATTTTTGGATTTACTGTAGAGGGGAGGTCTCACCATGTTGCCCAGATTAGTCTCAAACCTGTGGGCTCAGGCAACCTTCTCACCTCGGCCCCCTAAAGTGCTGGATTACAGGCTTGAGCCACCGCACCTAGTCCCAATTTTATTTTATTTTATTTTTTTGAGTTGGACTCTCACTCCATCGCCCAGGCTGGAGTGCAGTGGCACGCGTCACAGCCACAGGAGCCTTGACCTGCTGGACTCAGGTGATCCTTCCTAGTAGCTGAAACTACAGGCACATGCCATCAAACCTGGCTAATTTTTTAATTTATTGTAAAGATGAGATCTCACCAAGTTGCCCAGGATTGTCTCAAACCCATGGGCTCAGGCAATCCTCTTACCTCGGCTTCCCAAAGTGCTGGGATTATAGGCATGAGCCACCATGCCTGGCCCAATTTTATTTTTAAACAGTTTCGTGATTTGCAACTAAGGACTCTGACTGGTAGACACTTTGTTCTACTTCTTTTGCTTTGCTGATTTGATTTTGCAGCTGATACTCTCCCCTGTTAAAGAACCAGCTGCCGCATCTTCATCTCCCTTCATAAACTGTAGATGATGCCTCTGCAGATATGTGAAGAGGCATTCCTGGCACCTTGTGTTTTACAATGAAAATAATGGTAAATGGCCAAGTCAGTTTCTTGGTATTTGTTTGTTGTTAGTCCAGGAGTATTGTAAATTAAATACTAATGAGCTGGGCATGGTGGCTCACACCTGTAATCCCAGCACTTTGAGAGGCTGAGGTGGGAGAATGGCTTGAGCCTAGGAGTTTGAGACCAGCCTGGGCAACATAGTGAGACCTCATCTCTAAAAAAAATATAAAAATTATGCTAGGCGTGGTGGTTCAAGCCTGTAATCCCAGCACCTTGGGAGGCTGAGGCAAGAGGATTGCCTGAGCCCAGGGGCTCCAGATTAGCATGGGCAACTTGGTGAGACCTCTTCTCTACAATAAATCAAGATATTAGCTGAGCGTGGTGACACGTGCCTGTAGTTCCGGCTACTTGGAAGGCTGAGGCAGAAGGACTGCCTGAGCCCAGCAGGTCGAGGCTGTGGTGGCCCTAAGCATGCTACTATACTCCAGCCTGGGCAACAGAGTGAGACTCCAACTAAAAAAAAAAAAAAATTAGCCAGGTGTAGTGGGGTGTGCCTGTAGTCCCAGCTACTCAGGAGGCTAAGACAGAAGGATCATTTGTGCCAAGAGGCTGAAGCTGCAGTGAGCTGTGATTTTGCCACTGCACCTAAGCCTGGGCAACAGAATGAGACACTATCTCAAAAATAAATACATAAATAAATAATGAATACTGTGTACTTATGGGTCAAGTCTACACTAGATAATGTGCTTCATTTAAATATCACAACAAAACAATAAGTTTAATTTTATAGATAAGAAAGTTAAGGTTCAGAGAGCTCCAACCACTTTTCAAAGTCACCTAGCTGGCACAAGAAAGAGACAAAACTCAAATCCATAAGTATATAATCACTTGGGAGGCTAAAATACATGGGCGTGTTTGGAAAATAACCCACTGGCAATCCAGGGAAAGCACATGCTTGATCTACACAGGTCATCTATGTTACCCTCTAGTTCTTACCCGTCAGCTTAGTGAAGGCCTCCATGTCATCAATTGCTGTGGAAATGTGATACTTTTTCCCTTCAGCACCTGTAATCTCTATGTAGGGGTCTGCTCTGAGGAAAGCATCTGTAATCCTAAAGATCATTTAGAAAACAAAAAGTGTTTGTTCCATGTCTTACTTGAGGTACAATGTTCTAAAGAACACTGCTTCTTGATCACATGGTGCCCTGTGAGATTCCATGCTGGCTGTGTCCAGATACTATGGCAGAACTCTGGATGCATTATTCTATCTAATCTTTCCAACAGGAAGGTAAGTATAATCAGCCCGTTTTATAGATCCAGAAGTTAAGTGATTTTCATTTAACCAAGTTAGGAAGAAGCAGTGCCAGGTTTTGAACCTAGATGTCTCTGATCCTCTGAATTAAAAACAAAACTTAACAAACTATCAATCACAAAAGAGCAAAATGTATTCTACCTATCCTGCTCATAACAAAGGATATATAAAAAATAGAAATGAAGATAAATTTCCTCAAGATAAGTGTAAAAAGAACATAGAAAGTTCAATTTAAAGCTATTTAGAGACATGAAGTAACCCTGACTCACATGTAGAGGCGCAGCTATACATACTTCTCTACAGCGCTGACTGGGTCAGAATGAAGCAAATTCTTGTTGGCTTGACTATTTGGTACTTATTTTGATATTTGACAGGATAAAGACAGATATTAATCTTAAATCTTAAAGTTAATTTTGTCATTAATCTCAGAATGTCACGTACCCATGTCCCATGTCACACTGCCTTGATGACTAATACCTGGCACACACATGACAGGGGTCTGCACCGCTCCAGCTCTGCCTCCTGACATCTGGCCTAAGCCATCTCTTCTTCCCTTCAGCTACCCTTGGTCCATTTACCTCCACCTCCTCCAAATAAACTATGTTTACCTTATGCTAGATTCTGTTTTTGTTTCTTTAAGGAAACAATCTTAGTTTTTTTTTTTAACTTACTTTTAAAAAATTATTTTAGGCCTCCCATAGGAGATACAATCTCAGATTTATTCACTTCAAATTCCCTTGAATTTATCTAGAAATCTCAAGTTGACCCTAGTATGATACTCCAGGAAAATATCATGGAAACTTTCATAGGGAAGTAACTCATCAGTTTTCTTACATTGTATCAATGATGTTGCCAACTTTATGTTGATAAGCTCTACGGTGGAGACAGTTGCGAGTGTGGAACATGTCATACAGATTTCCAACCTCCTGCAGGAAAAAGTGAAATGAACAGTCATGTAGGATCAGATATTACCCTTGTTAACAGAAAATAAGATAAGGAAAAGAGACAGTGGCCAACAAGAAGGCTATACACTGGGCGACTTCCTCAAAACCCCTGGGACCTGGCCAGGTGGGCTGTGGCTCATGCCTATAATCCCAGCACTTTGGGAGACCGAGGCGAGAGGATTGTCTGAGTCCAAGGGTTCAAGACTAGCCTGGGAAACTTGGTGAGACCTTGTCTCTACAATAAATCAAGAAAAATTAGCCAGGACAAGCCGGGCTTGGTGGCTCAGCCTGTAATTCTGCGCCTTTGGGAGGCTGAGGTGAGTGGATTGCCGGGTTCGAGACCTGCCTGGGCAACTTGGCGAGACCTCATCTCTACAATAAATCAAAAATGAGCCGGGTGTGGTAGCGTGCACCTGTAGTTCCAGCTACTTGGAAGGCTGAGGCGGAAGGATCGCCGGAGCCCAGCAGGTCGAGGCTGCGGTGGCCGGGAGCGGCCGCTGCACTCCAGTCTGGGAGACAGAGTGAAACTCTGACTCAAAAAAAAAAGAAAAAGAAAAATTAGCCAGGTATGGTGGCGCTCACCTGTAGTTCCAGCTACTTGGAAGGCTGAGGTGGAAGGATCTCCTGAGCCCAGCAGCTCAAGGCTGCAGTGGCTGTGAGTGTGCCACTGCACTCCATCCTGGGCGTCAGAGTGAAACTCACAAAAAAACAAACAAAAAAAAAACCTAGGACCACTGAAAAATGGGACACATAGCTGTGCTTGGTGGCACAGCCTGTAATCCCAGCACTTTGAGAGGCTGAGGCAAGTGGATTGCCTGAGCCCGCGGGTTAAAGACCAGCCCAGGTAACTTGGTAAGACCTCGTCTCTACAGTTAATAAGAAATTAGCCAGGCGTGGTAATGTGCGACTGTAGTTCCGGCTACTTGGAAGGGTGAGGTGGATGATGATCGCCAGAACCCAGCAGGTCAATGCTGGGGTGGCCATAAAGCATGCCACTGTACTCCAGCCTGGGCAACAGAGTGAGACTTCAACTCAAAAAGAAAAGATAAGAAAAGAAAAACGGGACACAGATCAGTAAATCTGGCTTGCAACTCTTGTTCTTAGTAAAACCTACTGCATGTTTTAACTCTGGGACAGGTTCTGCTTTAGACAACTTATATTTTTTAATCTTCCCAGTAACTCTAGGAAGTATTATTATTCTGTGTTCTTCCTTTTTGACATGGTACAATATTGCACTGTTCTTTGTTGACATAACTGCCACCTAGCAGAGACCTTCTGATCTCAGCAGTCTTTTCTATTTTTTTATTTTTTTAATTTTTTTGAGTTGGAGTCTCACTGTCACCCAGACTGGAGTGTAGTGGCAGCTCCCGGCCACTGCAGCCTCGACGTGCTGGGCTCTGGCGATCCTTCCGCCTCAGCCTTCCAAGTAGCTGGAACTACAGGTGCGCGCTACCATGCCCGGCTAATATTTTTTTTATTTTTTGTAGAGATGAGGTCTTGCCAAGTTGCCCAGGTAGGTCTTGAACCCACGGGCTCAGGCAGTCCACTCACCTCAGCTTCCCAAAGTGCGGGAATACAGGCTGAGCCACTGAGCCCAGCTGATTTTCTTTTTCTTTTGGATTTGGAGTCTCACTCTTGTCGCCCAGACTGGAGTGCAGTGGCACGCTCCCGGCCACCGTAGCCTCAACCTGCTGGGCTCTAGCGATCCTTCCGCCTCAGCCTTCCAAGTAGCTGGAACTACAGGCGCGTGCTACCACGCCCGGCTGATTTTGATTTATTGTAGAGATGAGGTCTCGCCAAGCTGCCCCGGAGGGTCTCGAACCCACAGCCTCAGGTAATTTACTCACCTTGGCCTCCCAAAGCACGGGATTACAGGCTGAGTCACTGAACCCGGCCCCATGTAATTTTCTTAATAACATTTTCCTTTCTCTAGCTTACTTTGCCATCCCTGTGCCTTAGTTTGCTTACCTGCTGAATGGGATAACAACACTACCTATCTCACAGAGTTATGAAGATTGAGTTGATCCACTTAAAGCACAAGGTGGGCACAGTGGTACACACCTATAACCCCAGCTACTTGGGAGGCGGAAGCAGGAGATCACTTGAGTTCAGAAGTGTGAGACTAGTCTGGGCAGCCAGTGGGATCTTGTCTCAAAAACAACCAGCCAACCCAGGCTGGGTGTGGTGGCTTATACCTGTAATGTCAGTACTTTGGGAGGCTGAAATAAGAGGATTACTTGAGCCAAGGATTACAAGACCAGCCTGAGCAACACAGTGAGACATCACCTCTACAAAAAAATTAGCTAAGGTGGCGGTGTTTTCCTGTAGTCCCAGCTATCATTTAAGCCCAGGAGGTTAAGGCTGCAGTGAGCTGTGATCATGCCACTGCACTCCAGCCTGAGAAACAGAATGAGACTCTGAACAGAAAAACAAAAGCAACCAACCAACCAAACAAACAAAAAAAATCAAACAAAAAAATCCAAAAACCTCTGCCTACCAGAAAACTCAGTAAGTATCCATTTAAGTTTTGTTATTATTTAATAATGTAGCAGAAGTGAAAGAAGCCTTAAGATTACAAATGCTAGACATTAAGTAAAGAGACTGATGATATACTAATTTTTCCAAATTGTTGAATGATTACTTCCAGATTTCAGACCATGAGCTGTACTTTTCTTGTTTCCTCTGACATAGCTTACCTTGTCTCTAGTACAAATATGCATCTTATTTTCGACTTCACAGACACGGGCAAACTTAATAAAGCGCCTGTAATCAAAATTATTTTGGATTCCAAGATGATGGCAGTCCCTAGAAGGATTCCAAAGCAGAGAGATGACATCTGTCAACAAGGAAGCTGTGACTTAATAGTAACACTAAACTTATATAAAAGACTTTAACAAGCCGGGTGTGGTGGCTCACTCTGTAATCCCAGCACTTTGGGAGGCCGAGGCGAGAGGACTGCCTGAGCCCATGGGTTCAAGACTAGTCTGGGAAACTTGGTGAGACCCTGTCTCTATAATAAATCATAAAGTAAGTTGGGTGTGGTAGCACATGCCTGTAGTTCCAGCTACTTGGAAGGCTGAGGTGTAAGGATCACCTGAACCCAGCAGGTCAAGGCTGCAGTGGCCATGAGCATACCACTGCACTCCAGCCTGGGTGACAGAGTGAGATTCCAACTCAAAAAATAAATAAATAAATAAAAAAGACTTTAACCAACTATTCTGAAGTGCTCAGTGCATACCTGGCAAAATAATCCCACTTGTCCACATCAACGCCATTTCTTTTATTGGCTACTATCTCATAGAGGAAGCTTTTCTCTTTAGGACGCCCCTTATATGGCCACTGGAAGACAAGAAAAACCACTGACAATCTCAAGAGAGGTGGCAAGTTGATTTACAAGAAAAGCAAAGCAATTGTATTAACCTGCAGATGATAAACAGACACCTGACTGGGGATATAAGACGCACCTAATGGGTCTTCCTTCTTCCACTCGGTTCCTAAACCAGCAGAAAGGGAAAAGATATGCTGAGGTACATGACGCTCTATGACGACTAAACTTTTCTTTATTAATGAAAGGACCTTGCCTCTACTACACTTTTTTTCTATAACCAACAACTTTTATGTTTTCTTGGTTTAAAAGGTTTTTCAGGCCTGGCATGGTAGTTCATGCTTATAATCCCAGCACTCTGGGAGGCTGAGGTGGGAGGACTGCTTGAGCTCAGGAGTTTGAGACCAGCCTAGGAAACACAGGGAGACTCTGTCTCTACAAAAAAAAAATTTTTTTAAAGCCAGCTGTGATAGTGCACATCTGTAGTCCCAGCTGCTTGGGAGGCTGAGGCAGGAGGATTGTTTGAACTTAGAATTATGAGGCTGCAGTAAGTCAGATTTTGCAGTAAACCAGATTATGCCACTTCACTCCAGCCTGGGCCCAGTGGGTCGAGGCTGTGGTGGCTGTAAGTGTGTCAGTGCACTCCAGCCTGGGCAACAGAGTAAGACTCCAATTAAAAAAAAAAAAAAAAAAAAGGAGCCGGGCTCGGTGGCTCAGCCTGTAATTCTGCGCCTTTGGGAGGCTGAGGTGAGTGGATTGCCTGAGCCTACAGGTTTGAGACTCGCCTGGGCAACTTGGCAAGAACTCATCTCTACAATAAATCAAAAATCAGCCGGGCATGGTAGTGTGCGCATGTAGTTCCAGCTACTTGGAAGGCTGAGGTGGAAGGATCGCTGGAGCCCAGCAGGTCAAGGCTGCGGTGCCCGGCAGCAGCCACTGCACTCCAGTCTGGGCGACAGAGTGAGACTCCAACTCAAAAAAAAAAGTAGAAAAAAAATCTTTTTTTTTTTTTTTTTTGCATTAAACAGTAGGAATATATAACATATTTTATCATTTAACTTCTAAAATAGTCAAATGTATGGCTCTGAAGAAATCAATGAAAAGCATCAGTCAGTTCAAATTAAGTTATAAACAAACTTACCAAAGAATCTTTTTTGATTGATGACTCGAGTGGTCCTGCAATTTGTTCCTTGATAAAGCAAATATCTTCTTCAGGGATGAGACCATAGTGTTCCATGACAGCCTTAAGTCCATTAGAATTAACTAGGTGCTCAAACATCTTAACCGAGCCTTGTTCATGCTAGGAAAAGAAAGCACAAAATCAGGTGTTTTAGACTCTAGCCTATGAGAGGCCCTGATTACCAAAATTATCCTTGACTCCAGGTCATTCTGAGACAAGTTTGTAGTGGATATTAGTTATCTAGTCTCCAACTATATAGTCTTACAGACATTTAAGAAAGCTGTCATATTTGTCAATATTTTACTAGTCTGCAGAACTTTTACATAGCATATTTACTACTTCAGAAAAATATTTAATGCATTTTAAGAGCTATCATTTGGCCAGGTGCAGTGGCTCAAGCCTGTATCCCAGCACTTTGGAAGGCGGAGGCAAGAAGATTGCCTGAGCTCAGGGATTCGAGACCAGCCTGAGCAACATGGCAAGACCTTGTCTCTACAATGAATAAAAAAATTAGTCGGGCACAGTGGTGCAAGCCTGTGGTTCCAGCTACCTGGAAGGCTGAGGCAGAAGGATCGCCTGAGCCTAACAGGTCAAGGCTGCAGTGGCCGTGAGCATGCCACTGCGCTCCAGCGGGGGTGAGAGTAAGACTGCGAATCAAAATAAAGACATATCATTTACATCACCTGGAAGGATACTACCAGGTCATACAGGTAGAACCTTATTTTTAATAACTATTACTATAAAATTTAATTATATTTTTTCATCAGCCTTTGAATGTGTGAAGGTACAGACTCTATTAGCACTACCATCTAGTGGTAAAATGGGGTAACTGCAAACCTGCCAGTGAAAACAGAAGTGTTAGCAGAACTTGAAGTTCAATCTGCCTCAGTTTGCTCATCTGTCTCACTATCAGTGTAAAGATCAAATGACCTCCTGAAGACGTGTGCCTCTCCCAGGTCCTACCAAGAACTAACTTACAATGAAAAACCATTTAAAAAAATGGAATCCCACATATAATTATGAAGAGGAAAATAGTAACTTTATACCTGAGAAATTTGGCAGGCAATGCCTTAAACAAGTTAATATTACTGGTAACAGCTCAACTAGAAGGCATGTGCCTCCTCACAGGATACACTATCAAGAACATGTCACTTCTGTGGCATTCTGCCAAAATGATTACTTGAATCTATGAGGAAGAAATCAATATGAAACTCAAATTGAGGAACATTCCACAAAAAGTTCATCTGCTCTTAAAAAAAAAAAAAAAAAAGACAAAATCATGAAAGAAAAAGACTGAAGAACTGCTCCAGATCAAAAGAAACTAAAAAGAAATGGCAACTAAATGTAATGCATCATCTAGATTGAATCTGGACCAGGGGAAAAAAAGATTTTTCCTTCTTTTTCCACATGGACAACTGGTGAAATCTGAATTGTGAATTAAAAAACAGTAGTAGCCGGGCTCGGTGGCTCAGCCTGTAATTCCGTGCTTTGGGAGGTTGAGGTGAGTGGATTGCCTGAGCCCGCGGGTTCGAGACCTGCCTGGGCAACTTGGCGAGACCTCATCTTTACAATAAATCAAAAAAATTAGCTGGGTGTGGTAGCACGTGCCTGTAGTTCCAGCTACTTGGAAGGTTGAGGCGGAAGGATCGCTGGAGCTCAGCAGGTCGAGGCTGCGGTGGCTGGGAGTGTGCCACTGCACTCCAGTCTGGGCGACAAAGTGAAACTCCAACTCAAAAAAACAAACAAAAAAAAAAAAAACAGTTGTGCATCAAAATTAATTTACTGGGCTGGTTATGGTGGCTCACGTCAGTAATCTCAGCAACTTGAGAGGTTGAGGCAAGAGGATTGCTTCAGTCAGATACAGAGACCAGCTATTTTGTGTCCATATTACCACATCCCCTAGAGAAGGGACGTACCCACATTCCTGAGAGTTAACAAAAGGGGTGCTTACCCTTATCTCCTATACACTCCCAATAAAGAACTTGAAATAATTTTTTTTCTTTCTTTTTTTTTTTGAGTTGGAGTCTCACTCTGTCGCCCATGCTGGAGTGCAGTGGCATGCTCACCGCCACCACAGCCTCGAACTGCTGGGCTTAAGTGATCCTTCTGCTTCAGCCTTCCAAGTAGCTGAAACTACAGATGCACGCCAACATGCCTAGTTAGTTTTTTGTGATTTATTGTAGAGACAAGGTTTCACCAAGTTGCCCAGGATGGCCTTGAACAAAGAACTCTTAACTTCCCTGCAGACTGTGCCCAATTAACTGAGAGATGTAAATCCCCATTTACTCCTTTCTCTTATAGTCAGATGTATGAATAATATAATATAATATCAAGGTAATCTTAAGTCTTGTGATTTGCATAACTTTTGCATCAGTGTAATCATAATTCTTGTGATTTATATAACGTTTGCATATAACAACATGTAGTAGTAATATATGATGTCTTAGGCCTTGTCTACACCCTTTACTCTATGGCAAGCTTGATTAATGCCTCTGCCAGGTGTTACTGATAAGAAGCTGTCAGGTACCTCCGGTAACTGGTGCCAGGAAAAGTGGACCATAAAAGTCATTACTGACAACATGCAGCTATACCTTAACTTCTAAGCAATGCTCTGCCAGTCAAGTAGTCAGTGTATAGGTACCAACAACCCCTAAATTATAAAAGCAGATTGTAAAACTTGAAAGGTGAGCAGAACCATTTTAGGAAGTTGAGCTCAGCTCTTAAACTTCTTTCCACCAGTTCCCTGCCTCTCAATTTATTGGTGTCGAGGGTTAGCAGCTGAATGTTACTCAGACTATAACAAGTCCAGGAGTTCGAGAGCAGCCTAGGCAACACAGCAAGAACTCATCTCTACAAAAAATTAAAAAATTAGGCTGGGTGCAACGGCTCAAGCAGTGGTGTAACTTGATGAGATCTCATCTCTACAGCAAATAAACAAATTAGCTGGGTGTGGTGGCACATGCCTGTAGTTCCAGCTACTTGGAAGGCTGAGGGGACGGATCGCCTGACCCCAGCAGGTCGAGACTGCGGTGGCCATGAGCGCGCCACTGTACTCCAGCCTGGGAGACAGAGTGAGACTCTGATTCAAAAACAAAAAACAAAAAACAAGAGCAAGCAATCAAATGTTTTAAAGGGGTAAAAATGTTGAAAGAGTTCTTGACAAAAGAAGGTGTCTGAATAACAAAGACAAAGTACAGGAAACAGTAATCAACATACATTAGAAAATAAAAGTTAGGCCAGGTGCAGTGGCTCCAGCACTTTGGGAGGTGGAGGCAAGAGGATTACCTGAGCCCATGGGTTCAAGACCAGCCTGGACAACATGGTGAGATCTAAGCTCTACAACACAATGAAAAAATCAACAGAGCATGGTGGCACTACATGAAAGGCTGAGGTGGAAGTCTCGTCTGAACCCAGCAAGTCGAGGCTGCGGTGGCCAAGAGCGTGCCACTGTACTCCAACCTGGGCAACAAAGTGAGAGTCCAACTCAAAAAATAAATAATTAATTAAAAATTAAAAAATAAATAGGCCGGGCACAGTGGCTCAAGCCTGTAATCCCAGCACTTTGGGAGACCAAGACAAGAGGACTGCCTGAGTCCATGGGCTCCAGACCAGCCTGGGCAACTTGGTGAGACCTTGTCTCTACAATAAATCAAAAAATTAGTCAGGCATGATGGCATGTGCCTGTAGTTCCAGCTACTTGGAAGGCTGAGGCAGAAGGATCGCCTGAGCTCAGCAGGTTGAGGCTGTGGTGGCCGTGAGCGTGCCACTGCACTCTAGCCTGGGCGACAGAGTGAGACTTAGACTCAATCAGTCAATAAATCAATAAAAAATTAAACCACAAAATATTAATACCATGTAACAATCATTAGAAGGGCTAATCTTAAAAACCAAATGTTGGTTAGGCTGTTTTGTTTTTTTTTTTGGAGTTGGAGTCTCACTGTTGCCCAGACTGGAGTGCAGTGGCCGCTCCCGGCCACCACAGCCTCGACCTGCTGGGCTCTGGCGATCCTTCCACCTCAGCCTTCCAAGTAGCTGGAACTACAGGTGTGTGCTACCACGTCCAGCTAATTTTTTGATTTATTGTAGAGATGAGGTCTCGCCTGCCCAGGTGGGTCTCGAACCCACGGGCTCAGGTAATCCACTCACCTCAGCTTCCCAAAGGCGCGGGATTACAGGCTGAGCCACTGAGCCCGGCGGTTAGGCTGTTTTTGATTTTTGTAGAGACAGGTCTTGCTGTGTTGCTCAGGCTGGTCTCCAACTCCTGAGTTCAAGCAATCCTCCTGCCTCTGTCTCCCAATGTGCTGGGATTACAGGTGTGAGCCACCCCAGCTGGAACTCTCACCCGCTGCTGGTGGGAATATGAAATGCTACAGTTCATACTGGAAATCTCAAGTAGTTTTGCAACCGAGAATGTAAAATGTAAAAGTGTATCTGAGACCCCCTGCTTTCTCCTCTCCTGACACCTGCTCCTTCATTCTTTCCCACACACCTCCTGATACTGAAACCCTCTAACCCATGCTTGCTCCTCTAATTATGTTTTTGATTTAAATTTCCAGAGGCTAATCTTTTTTTTCTTTTTGAGTCAGACTCTTACTCTGTCACCCAGGCTGAAGTGCAGTGGCATAATCACGGCTCACCGCAGACTCGACCTGTTGGGACTCAGCCAATCCCTCTGCTTCAGCTTCACAAGTAGCTAGTACTACAGGCGTGCAGCAATATGCTCAGCTAATTTTTTTGAGTTTTGTAGCTATAAGGTCTTGCTATGTTGCTCAGGGCTGGTCTCGAACTCCTGAGTTCAAGCAATCCTCCTGCCTCAGTCTTCCAAAGTGCAGGGATTACAGGCACGAACCACTGTGCCCAGCAAAAAACTAGGCATGGAGTCTGGACTGCAGAACCCCCCACCCCCACCTGAGGGGAGATATGTGCAATTCACTGCCAGGCCACAGTCAAGATGAACCCCAGACAGGATTACTCAAGGCAGCCCTCAGGACAAAGATACCAGCCACTTTACTCTCCACCACTCTTACTTCCCATATGTTTCCCTTTGAAAGCCCCATGGTAAAATAAAAACTCAGAGAGTATTTGGGATTGGCTCTTAAATAAAACCTATTTTCCTTTCACCAACGCTTGTCTTTCATGACAAACACCTAGACCAGGATTTGGTTGCAATTTCTTACAGAGTCAAATGTGAATTTACCATATGACCCAGCAACTCTATTCTTAAGTTTTACCTCAGAGAAATGAAAACATATATTCACAAAAATCTTAAACAATAATGTGCATTGCAGCCTTATTCACAGGTCCCAAACTGAAAACAACCCCAATTCCATCAAAAGGAGAGAGAATAAACAAATAGTGACATTCACACAATGGAATCCTATCTCAGGGATTGACTACTAATGCAAAACTAATGCAAAATCATCATGTAGAATAAATAAAGCAAGAGCACCCGATCAATGGCTCTAGCGATGGGGAAAGGAGTGAGAACTGCCTGGAAAACGGCGCAATGAAATTTTCCAGGAAGATATAAATGTCCTGTATCCTGATTTATGCAATTAAGATATGCACAATTTATGTGAATTATACCTAAAAAGAAAAACAGTGGTTGATAGGTAACAAGTTTCAATATATATTACAAAAAAATACAAACCAGTCACCAGCAGATGCCTAATGATAAAATTGTTCATGTAGCCGGGCTCGGTGGCTCAGCCTGTAATCCTGAGCTTTGGGAGGCTGAGGTGAGTGAATTGCCTGAGCCCGCGGGTTCGAGACCCGCCTGGGCAACTTGGTGAGACCTCATCTCTACAATAAATCAAAAAATTAGCTGGGCGTGGTAGCGCGCACCTGCAGTTCCAGTTACTTGGAAGGCTGAGGTTGAAGGATCGCCGGAGCCCAGCAGGCCGAGGCCGGGAGTGGCCACTGCACTCCAGTCTGGGTGACAGAGTGAGACTCCAACTCAAAAAAAAAAAAAAAATGTTCATGTAACATATTTGAGAAGCTTGGCTGGTAACAGTTACTTCCTGGTCATTCCAAATGATCAACACTGAAGCTGCCCTTTGATATTTCTGTTTTGCAGTAGGGCAATGTGGTAGCAAGAGCACTAAACTGGCAACCAGTCTTCTCGTGCTGGCTCCACCATTTCATAGCCTTGTGATTTTTGGAGGGTTAATACACTTTTTTTTGAGTTGGAGTCTCACTCTGTCGCCCAGACTGGAATGCAGTGGCACGCTCCTGGCCACCGCAGCCTTGACCAGTTTGGCTCCCGTGATCCTTTCACCTCAGCCTTCCAAGTTGCTGGAACTACAGGCGTGAGCTACCATGCCCGGCTAATTTTTGATTTATTGTAGAGATAAAGTCTCCCCAAGTTGCCTGGGCAGGTCTCGAACCCGTGGGCTCAGGCAATCCACTCGCCTCGGCCTCCTAAACCACCACAGCCTCAAACTGCTGGGCTCAGGCAAATCTTCTGCCTCACCCTTCCAAGTAGCTAGAACCACAGTCATGTGCCACTATGCCTGGTTACTTTTTATTCTTTTAGAAAGCAGGATTTATTAAGAGGACAGAAAAGTTCTCACAGTGGGAGGGGACCCGAAGGAGTTGTCCTTTTTAAAAATTTATTATAGAGACAAGGTCTTGCCATGTTGCCCAGGCTGGTCTCAAACCCCTGAGCTCAGACAATCCTCTTGCCATGGCCTCCCAAAATGCTGGGATTACAGGCTTGAGCCACCACATCTGGCTGTGAGCAGCACATTTTTAAAAAATGTATGTATGAAAGCATCCTAGAGACTGTAATGGGAAGTATCCCATAACACAGCAGTGGAAAAGAAAACGAAATAAGCTGCTTAAAGAGTCCTTCTTCTTATTGACTAATGAATACATACCGTCCATTTCACCTCTGGGCGAGCAAGTGGAATAAATCTTCCATCAAACATATGAGAAAATGGCCCATGACCTTAAAAACAAAAGCAACCTTAGAACAAGAAAAATATTTGTAAATTGGCAAAAATTAAAACCTTTTTTTTTTTTTTTTTCAGTTGGAGTCTCACTCTGTTGCCCAGTCTGGAGTGCAGTGGCCGCTCCCAAGCCACTGCAGCCTCGACCTGCCGGGCTCCGGCGATCCTTCCACCTCAGCCTTCCTAGTAGCCGGAATTACGGGCATGCGCTACCACACCCGGATGATTTTTGATTTATTGTACAGATGAGGTCCCACCAAGTTGCCCAGGTGGGTCTCGAACCCGCGGGCTCAGGCAATCCACTCACCTCGGCCTCCCCAAGTGCTGGGATCAGGGCTGAGCCACTGAGCCAGGCCTAAAACCTTTCATCTTTTCACCTTAACTTGAATGTCAACAATTAATATTCTCAAAAGATAAATCACAAAAAGGGACAAGTTTTTCCTATTTCCTACTTCTGCACAGGATGCAGAATCATACAAGGAAGTAAGCTCTCCACAGAGCATGCTTCAGTCACCAGAGCTTACAGAAATTCGATACAAGGACAGTTTGTTTTTATTTTATTTAAATTTTTATGCATTTGTTTTAATGTTTTTTGGGGGGGACTTGCCCTGTTGCTGTGGTTGGAATGCAGTAGTGCAATCATAGCTCACCGCAGTATCTAGCTCCTGGGCTCAAGCGATCCTCCAACGTCAGTCTTCTGAGTGGATGAGATTACAGGAACATGCCACCACAACTGACAATTAATTGATTGATTAATTAATTTGTAGAGACATGGTCTTGCTATGTTGCCCAGGCTGGTCTCAAACTCTTAACCTGAAGAAATCTTCTCACCTCAGTCTCCCAAAACACCGAGATTACAGGCATAAACCACTATACCAAGCCTGCTTGTTTTGTTTTGAGAGACAGGGTGGTCGGGCGTGGTGGTTCATGCCTATAATCCCAACACTTTGGGAGGCCAAGGTGAGAGGATTGCCTAAGCCTGCTG